AGCACCTCCAGAAACTGGGTGTGAGTTGATGGAACTATCCAGGTGAGACTTCGGCCCTGCCTTTCTGCTCATCCATTAGAAAGGCAGCAGCTGATGCTGGGACGGGAAGGAGCCAGGTTTACATCTTCCCTTGTGGTTTCCAGTTAAATTCCTGACTGCCTCACTGCCATGTGAGTCAGTAACCTTGCCACACCAGTAGGCAGCACTGGCCACACACACTGGGGAAAGGAGAAAGGACCGAAGGGAAAAGAGGGATGGCTCTATCCACAGACATCTCCTACTTTTGTCTCACTAATTCTTTTCCTTACTCATAATTGCTAAAACTTGGCAGCAACCAAGATGTCCTTCAATACATAAATGGATAAACACACTGTGGTACATCCATACAATGGAATATTATTCAGTGCTAAAGAGAAATGAACTATATCATGCCACAGAAAGACAAAATGCACATTGCTAAGTGAAAGAACCCTGTCTACAGAGGCTGCATGCATTCTGATTCCAACTGTAAGACATTCTGGGAAAGACAAAACTAGAGAGACAATAAAATGATCAGTGGTTGCCAGGGGTTGGGATAAGAAGGAAAAATGAACAGGTAGAGCACAAGGGATTTTTCAAAGCAGTTAAATTATTCTGTATGATATTGTAAAGATGGATACATGGCATTATGCTTTCGTCAAAACCCACGAAACTACAACACAAGGTGAACCCTAATGTGAACTATGGACTTTAGTAATAATAACAGATCAGTATAATTTCACCAATTGTTAACAAATGTACCACACTAATGCAAGATGTTAATAAAATGAGAAACTGCAGGGCAGGAGGAGGCAGAGTTTATGGGAGCTCCATACTTGCTGCTCGATTTCTCTGTAAACCTAAAACTGCTCTAAAAAATAAAGCCTATTAACTAAAAAACTGTTTGAAAGGGGTCATAAAATAAGACACCATCATCTGAATCTCACCACATGGAACAACAATTTGCAATGGTGCTACACAAATAAGACAAGTGTATTTATTTATTAAACCAGTTAGAATTGAAAACACAAACATCTTACCTGCATCAACCTCGCATTATACCTTGGTATAATGCACAGCAAACACAAAATGTCAGGTTTACAATATGTGATTTTATGAGAACAAAATTCTGGGAACAGTCATTCCTTACTAGTAAGAGGTTTGTTGCTCCCACTGGTGGCAATAAGCGGACCTGTGAGTGTAGATAAAAATGAACCACAAAGAAAACACTGACAACCAACACTCTAGAAATTTATTACCAAGTTACATCCTACACACAAACACAACTGAGCTCATGAGACTAGCAAAAGTAGCAGCACAAAAATGTAAGGAAAAACATATTTAATAAATACAATTTAGAAACATTATTTTAAAAAATTAGATTTGAACACTGTGAGACAAAACACTGAAACAGAAATCTTAACGACCCATTTACAAGCCATTGTAACATGCAGTGATCCCCAGACACTGTCCACAGCAATGTTAACTGAAGGACGCTCCCTGCTGTGTACCACCATATGGGTACACGTATTTGTCCAGTTTTGTGTGTTCTCCTGGAGTACGTGGGTCTTTAGAGAATGAACACAGGAACAGTTAGGCTCCAAAAATTTTAATATTGTCACATTAGTTTGTATTTATGAAGCTATGAGAAAACAGTAGGATGTCAGTGTGTTTGAAGCTATTGCTTAGAAGAAATACACGCAAACAATGAAGCTGGCCACAACAAAGAGGGAAAAAGTAATTCAGACATTTCAGAGAGGCTTACTTTGAAATATAAGTCTTTGCCAGAAAAAGACGACAAAATAATTTAAATAAAAAATTCAAGGTTAAAAAAAAAGTAAATGGGGACAGAGAAAGAACAGAAAGGAAGGAAATGCTAAAAGAACAAATCTGTGTAGATGATGAACTGAATTTAATTAAATTCATTCTTGCCTAAAACTAAGCCTGGTTAACTGAGGTAGACTCTGGGAATAAATAACATGTGCAAAGATTCAGGTTTTCCAAAGGGCAAGTGAGTCATTTCAGAGACTGTAAAGTAAAAGTGCATTTTAGAGTTCTGAACATAAAACAAATGGCAGCCCTTTTGTGAGAGGGAAACTTCTCTATATTAATTTCTTATTTGTTGGGCCAAATTTCCAAATGGACAAAAACCTACACACCGCTGGTGATAAAGCAATATTCAGGTTTAATTTTTATTTATTTTCTCAAGAAATGAGAAAGGTAAAATAAAAATAATTTTATGTCATTACCTTAATATTTTTCCTGTTTTTATTAATAAGTCAGTGGAAATTTGGAAATATTATTAAAACTAAGAGTTGTCCAAAGCCATAAAAACCTAATAAAAATTCAAAGAATTATTGTTAAAGAAGTGAATGTTTAAGAACACATCTATTAACTTAAGGATTTGATTTTTTCAAATACTCATACAGTTTCCAATTTAAATTAAAAAACAAATATTTAAAACAAATGTCATAAAATTAAATAAGTATGAAAGCCTAATTGAAAAGTATAAATAAGTAAATTTATAGTAATTACAAGAGTTTTTTGCTTTTTCTGCAAAAATAGTGAAAATGAGAGTAAAACATTTGAGGTTTAGATATTTTTATCTCCCTAACATGTCCTCCACCTATAATTTCTACTTTTTTCAACTGTGACACAGACTTAGATTCACATAAATATTATGCATATCACAAATTAATTAGTATGTTAAAAATACACAAAACAGTTAAGTAAAAAAAATATAAAAAAGCGAATAGCTATGATTTTTACCTCTTACAAGTTTAAGTGTCCTTTTCTTGGAAAAGGCCAGCACAAACCCTTAACTTTTTATGCCTATTGTACAGAATATATTCTAAAGTGATTTATCATTAATAAGATAAAAGGAAGAGTGGGAATCTACTGTTAGGCAAAGAAAGACAATAACAAAGACAATAATGAAGGAGCTGAAGTCCACTCAAACCACATGCAATACCTGCCTAGGCTCTTCATTTTATCTCAAGTTAGGGTACAGGGAAAGTAAAACATGTAAAACATAACCATGTCAACTGGTTACTGTTTTATGATTCTCATCACAGACTCAGCAGTGTATATAGAAACTTACTTCCAAGGAAGGAATTCAAATGAACTCAGGCTATCCAAAAATAAAGAGTTTCAATAATTTCACGTTCAACAGAGTCAGGCTATGCGTAGCAAAGTGAAAGAGTATCAATTATATTGTAAATCTGGGCTGTATATTTTATTATATATTTTTCCCTGATATACCTGTATGCCTGTTCATAGATTCACCAGATACTTGCATGCTTACTTTTTTTTTTTTGAGACAGAGTCTCGCTTTGTTGCCCAGGCTAGAGTGAGTGCCGTGACGTCAGCCTAGCTCACAGCAACCTCACACTCCTGGGCTCAAGCAATCCTTCTGCCTCAGCCTCCCGAGTAGCTGGGACTACAGGCATGCGCCACCATGCCCAGCTGATTTTTTTCTATATATATTAGTTGGCCAATTAATTTCTTTCTATTTTTAGTAGAGATGCGGTCTTGCTCTTGCTCAGGCTAGTTTCGAACTCCTGATCTCGAGCAATCCGCCCGCCTCAGCCTCCCAGAGAGCTAGGATTACAGGCGTGAGCCACCACGCCCGGCCCCTTACTTTTTGAGTAATTAGTGATTTCATCCTAATTTTTGAGAGTTAAATATCATATCACAAAAACTGTGATCTCATAGCTCAAATGAAGCCCCCAGCGAGCAGCTAGACCACATCATGTCCCCCTTCCAAGATGGCTTGGTATTTTGGGAGGTAGCAGTCAAAGCCTAACGTATGTTTTGGTCATTCTGGAATGACTACACTGCTATAGACTAGAAGATAAAGTCTGTGATGCCACTGTCTATTTTCTACTTGGCTAATTAGAAAACTGCAGCCTCCATTAAAGAGTGGTTTGTCTGGTACATTTTGCCAATATTAATTTCCTTAAAAAAAGAAATCATGGAAGCAAAATCTTTACAGTAAGTATATAACATGTGTATATATTTACCATAATTACATGTGTACATATAATTATAATAAATATGTAGCTTATAATAATAATAATATCACACAGAAGTAGAAACCTAAGTTTATAAAATAAAAAAAATAATAATAATAATAATAAACATGTAGGTTAGAAAATGGTAGAACTGGTTCATTAAAATAGATCTATAATAGTTATGTAGTATTCAAACAAATAGATATCAGTTCTAATTTTAAAACAGATTTAGGGAACAAAAAGGAGAGAAAAAAACTTTTATGTATTATCTTTCCAAAGCATACACAGATTATTGCACCTCTCCATATATGACCTAAATTTTTTTTCAGTAGTAGAAGCCAGAAGCTACACAGAGTCAGTCATTAGAGAAAGCGCCAAGTTGAGACTATACTATCTGCTCTAGCTTTCAAAGCCACAGAGTTTTCACTCATTGTGTCTTACACATAGTAAGCAACTAATATGTGTCTGCTGAATGAAGGGACAACCTGATCAAATATCTGCAAAGCAGAATTATTAAATATATATAACTTAGTCCTAAAATGATTATGCTTCAGAACTCAAAATTCTCATGTTTTTAGAGGATTAAAGGAACCAAATATTTCTACTTTGATAATGTGACACAGAAAAACAAAACAAGGAAAAACAATTCTATCTCATTCTGGGTAAGGCAACACACTGTCTTTTGCAATAATGACAATGTATATACAATATACATTATATGCTGGATTACACCTAAGGGATCTCTTCAAGATCCTTAAGGGGTTTAACACATTAACTGCCATGTGAGTTATATTTAACTCATGCTAGTTTTGAGCCCAGGGTCTCATGAGGCATACGTAACTCACACATCTCTTCACCTTAGGAGCTAGGAGAACTATTTTTCAAGTTGCATATAACTCTTGCACAGAAAACAATAAAAAATAACAAATTTTTCATTAAATTAGAAAGGATTACTTTGTTTTCCAAGTTTTTATTCTGTTTTCATAATAAAACAATGTGGCCCCAAAGGAAAAAAAAATTTCTAGTGTGGCAGTCAATGTGTTAAGATATACAAAGCATTTGCCATCCACTGATACAGCAAAATGAGAAAATAGGGAAATAAAAAAACATACCTGACTCAACTGAGTATAGTAAAGGTAAGCTTATAGAAAGTTTGAGTTTCCAAATGTTGCTAAACTGGCAATGAAAGAATCACAATTACCATGTCATTATTTGTAAATAATTCAGAAAAAAATTAAATGCATGCCAAGATAAATAAACACAAAACCCAGAAAAGGTCTAACAATCAATTAAAGTATTAAAAACAAGTTTTAACAATCACAAACCAATATTTTAGCAATTGTCCCTAAGACTTCAGGAAAAAGAAATACATTACTGGATGGCAATAGTTTGCAAGATAATCTTAGTGGGTTTATTTATTGATTTATTTTTAAAATTCATAAATAAAAGAAAACCTTTCATTTCAATATTTAAGATGAATTAATTCAATTACAATAAAATTATTATGCCTTATGATTTCAAGTCTTATAATCTGTGTCTCAGGAAAGAGGGCAATTTATAGCATCAAATAAATACTGAAGTTTAAATAGACTCAGACTCAAGTTATCTAAAAAGAACATAAGGTATCTGTAGTTCTTAGTAGGGAAAAAATAATAAAATCTCTTAAGCAAGCTGCTAAGAGGTGGTTTTTTTTTTTTAATGCCTAAAATGTTATGCTATTTTTAGTTTTAAACCAGTAGGTGCTATCCAAAATTGAGAATTCAAGATATCATCAAACATAAATTTTAAAAAGTTTAACCATTACAACATAGATTGCCTAATAATTAAAACAGGACAAATGTAATTATAAAAACTAACACTAGGATACTTCATTTATGATTAGATACATGCCATTTACTTTTTGTGGCTTCCTTCTATTGTCTAATACCTGCTGAACTGAGTAAGCCTGCCAGATTTCTATCCTAATCTTACTGTGTGTGCAAGTTCTCAGCGTAGACAAGGAAGAATTTTAAAATTTTTGAATGAACATCATTTATTACTTTCAATGCCGTTTTGTTAAACAAGCTGTCTGGAAAACTGTAAAGATTTTGTTTGTTTTGCATTAGCCACAAGAGAGTGGACTTGTTTAGAATACCAAAGTATTTACCTCAAATACTAAAGCCAAATTCCATAAAATTTAAACCATGCTGGAGATAAGAAAAATAATGGTTGTATCTGTTTGAACATATTGAAAGAAAAGTGAAAACAAACTTAGAAGTCCAGAAGAAAGAAGTGAATCTAATGCAATCATAATAGTCTTCCTACCTTTCCAATACGAAATATAAGAAGCACCAGCAAAAAAATACTAAAGACCAGAGAAACAACCTGGAAAAATGATTCAGAAACTACAGAGCATGAGGATATTCCTCAATAAAAGCTCAAAAAATGATTAAACAGCTAATAGAAGAAATGGTAGCGGGAGGGAGGAGTAAAAATTCTAACCACATGGTAGACTCTAATAGTAATAATTGAATTCTAAAGGTTTAACTCGCAAATTCATTTCCTCCAAAATATACTGTCATTCTTCTCTTAACAACAAATAATGAATTTGACACAAAACCCAGGTTTGATGTTAAAAAACCCAACATATATAGATAGGTCCCTCAAGTTGACAAAGCAAAAGAACTGAAGAAAAAAAAAACTGACAATACACCTGAGAAATAGAGGTCCTTCTAAATCTCTTGTAAACAAGTTCCTAAAATAGCATACTGCTTACTTTCTTCATCCTCTCTGACAGACTGTTTGGGGTGCAAAAATGAGTGCATGAATATGTGGAATACCAGAACAAGGCTGGGGGACAGGATCATCAGGCTCTCTATGTAGCTTTTCTTATTTCTCAACTACATTTAGTATTCTTTGTGGTTTTAGATTTTTTTCCCTTTAAGTGAAAATCTCTCCAACGAAAAATTCCAAACCTGTTTTTTTAAAAAAAATTGCAGGAATTTCTTCACATTTTATAAACAATAATACCAGAAATGAAAGAGCTGACAGAAATTCAAGCAGATCCAAATTCAACCATCCATTTTTCATACTTCTCCAAGTCTGCAGCAGAGACAGACTTAGCAATTTTCTTTAGAGCCAATTCAAAGTCTCCTTTGGTAACAGGCATCTGAAGTTCCTCTTTAGAAAGTGCACGGATCTCTTCTGGACTTAAGCCATTGATACGTCGTCTCATTGCCATTAAAGAGGCGTCCCTAAAAATATACCAAAATCAGTCAATAGTATAGTTTTAGACAATTTCACTTGTAACCAACTTATGGGAAAACATAAGATCATCTTACGTGTTTTTATGATACTGCTTAGAATTTTCCATCCTGAGGGTTGAGGAAAAGTTAAAATAGGAATCAAAGAACTTAAAACATGAAATTTATGGTTAATGAACCCTAAAAGTCTAGGTTGAGCTCAGGTAGCACTGAATTTTCTTTCTCACCTACTCCTCAAGGACAAACCAAAAAGTTTAGGAAATTGAAGTTGAACTTTGAAACACTGAATTGTACACTTGGAAATGAGTATACAGCTAATGTTAAGATAATTCAAACCATAGACTAGTCTGTCTATAGCCTAATTAGAGGGGTAAGGCCAGGAACCTCTTTCTCTGGAACATGAATACGAGAACATATATAGAGCACATGAAACTCCCTACATGGCACATTTATGGGCAACTAAAGGCATAAACCCTGGCTTCCCCTGATCCCATTTTCAGCTCTATCTGACCAACTATAAAAAATATGAGGATCTGGCAGAAATGGAAGATTGTAATCACAAAAAAAAGCTATTAAGAAGGCCAAGCAACCAAAATTTCAAATTTTTAGATATTTTACTATAGTGATAGTAGAAACTATTGTGAGCTTATTGTGTGCCACTAAACTATGATGCACAGAGAAAAAATACTAGCAGAAAAAGTGAGAGAGAGATGTTAAGGCTTTAAAGAAAGGCTACTAAAGTCAATCTTAGAAAAATAAACATAAGATCCAAACGAAAAGTCCTCTTCATTGAGTAATATAAATTATCTAAAAATGTCACTAAATTGAAAATTAAAAAATTTAATTTAAAATTAAATTTAAAAATGTGTGTGCATGTGCTTGTGTATATATCTTCCTCAGCTTAAACTGATCAACTCTGTTCATCTGCATGTGGTCAAATAATGCCAACCAAAACTAAATGGTATTATTATACTTTATATTGATTCACTTAGGCTCCAACATAGAGCTAAATTAACCTTAGGTTGTCAAAATCATTATTACCAAGTTAGACACAACAATTTCTTAAAAATCAAAAAATCAAAAATATCAGTGCATATATTGTTACATAATTATTCATCTAACAATGAACAATTAAGTTAAACAGAAAAAAATTAAGACAAATGGGAAACATTTCAAAGAAATAGGTAGCTGCTTTCCTGTCAAGGGCTAATTACATTAAGACTGGTCCTCCTGCCAAATCTATAACCAATGTCTAAGATCACAGATCATTAAAAAAAAAATACCTGCAAACATTAGTTATGTCAGCACCAGAATAGCCCTCAATTTTCTCTGCTATATCTTCCAGTTGGATATCAGGATCTATTTCTACCTCACGAAGATTGATCTTCAGAAGCTCAGCTCTTCCTTTCGCTGTTGGAAGATTTTTTTGTTGTGTTAGATGTTTTACTTTACAAATCATTTTTCCGAGAAATCACATATTAACATTCAAGAAAAGAAAGAGACCAATGCAAAGAAGAATCAATAACTGTGAGTCCGCTAGTATTACCAATTCATTGCATGACTCACAGAATTAGTTAACTTCCTATCTGTCTTTGCTGCAATAACTAAAAATTAAAACAAAACTCAGAAATTTCCTTACAGACTGTGAGGATACGTGCTGTGAAAACAAAGGAATATGAGAAATATAAACATTAGTATTCAAGCACCAAAAATGCTTCTAGTAAAAAACTATTTAGCCTAGTTTTACAAAACTAAACTGCATTGAGTATAACTCCTGGCCAGGTGCGGTGACTCATGCCTGTAATCCTAGCACTCCAGGAGGCCCAGGCAGGAGGATCACCTGACCCGAGGAGTTAGAGGTTGCAGTGAGCTATGATGACCCACTGCTTCACACCCAGAGTGACAGAGCAAGACTCTGTCTCAACAACAGCAGCAAACGGAAACTAGACTGCATCAAGTGTAACTCCTATGTGTGAACTACTTTGCTCACTTTTTAATATGATACAGATTTCCAGAACTCTCATTAGTAGTTTAAAAAAATTTTCCTGGAAATCAGAAATTGGCAAAAAAGAAAAAAAAAAACCCAAAGCCTCACTAACATATTTTTCACTTAAAGAGCCAGCCCACAGACATTTGCTGTTCCGGTGTGACTTAAATGTGTATTGAGTTAAGTTCAAACTGGCAAATTTTTTAAATAATCAATTATGCCTGCCGTTTCACTATTGCTTTTAGTGCAAATCTGCTTAACACAGCACACTAAGATAATGCATTACCTGTTTATCTGGCTCTGTACTATTTTCTGAGACACAAAATAACATTTAATTTTCTTTAGCTTCTATTTTGAAAATTTTTAAATCTGTTGGTGGGGCGGAAATCAATGAAGACCCATTTACCTTTCATCAAGTTTGCCAACTGTTAACATTTTGCCATTATCACTCTAGTTGCCTCCTCCTGTCCTCCTCTCTTCTCTCCCCCTTTTTGAATTGAGAGCTAGCTATAGGCACCACAACACTTCACCTTAAATTCTTCAGCACCTATATCTCCTAAGAACAATGGTATACATACATTTATCACCCTTATCAGGAAATTTAACATCATCCAATAAACAATTCAAAGTATAATTTCCCCATTTGTACCAGGCCTTTATAACTTTTATAAAACATCACATATTGCATTTAGTTACCAAGTCTCGTTAGTCTTTTCTCAACTAAAATAGTTCCCCACTGTTTATTTTTTGTTTACTTTGTTTGGTCTTTCTTGACATTGACAATTCTCCCCTAACTGATCTTATAGAGCCAAAGCATTCCAATTAAGATCCTCCTAACAGGTCTGTCTGTGGAACCTGACAGGTACATACTGAGATGTTTACAGAAATGGAAAGAATGAAGAACCACAGAGACGCTCTGGAAGAGCAACAGCAAGGTTGAAGGAATTGCTCTATCAGATTTTAAGACTTATTACAAAGTAATAGGATTTGAATCATACTTGTAGAGACAGACAAACAGATCAATGACACAAAATAAAAAGCATACATTATGGACACTTGATTTATGACAGACGTGGTTCAGGCAATGAGAGAAAGGAGTGTCTTTTCAACCAATGGTACCAGAACAACTGATTATCCGCAGGCGAAAAAATGAAATCAGGTCCTACATCGCACTGCACACAAAAATGAGCGCCTGATATATTACATCTAAACCTAAAATGCAAAATTATAAGTATTTTAGAAAATAATACAAGAAAATATCTTAATGACCCCATGGAAGTATTCTCAAGATATATATTCAAAAAATCAACTACAAAGGAAAAGATTGATATTCCGACCACATTAAAATTATGACCTTCTATTCGTCAAAAGACATTGTAAATACATTAAAAAAAGACAAGCTACAGAGTTTGAGAAGATGGTTATAACATATAAATAACAAAAGACTTATAACTAAAGTATTTAAAGAATTCCTGTACATCAGTAGGAAAAAGTCAGACTACCCAATAGAAAGCAGGCAAAAGCCCTGAACAGATACATCACAAAATACAAGTGGACAAATAAATAAAAGATTTTCAAACTCTTTAATAATAAAGAAAATACAACTTAAGCCACAATGAGATAGCACGGCATACCAGTAGATTGGTATAAATTTAAAAGTCTGGCAATACCAGGTGTTGGAAAAATGTGAAACACCAAGGAACTGTCATAGACTAGTAGGAGTGTAAATTGGAACAACCACTTTGCAAAACATATTAGATTTACCTATTAATGTTGCAGCTATGCAATATGACCTAGCAATTCACTCCTAGGATGGAATGCTCCATCCCTGGCCTAAAGAAACTCAGGCATTTTCACTTTATGCATATATAAGAATGTTCACAGTAGCATTGTTCATCATAGCCTAAAATGGGAAAGAATCAAAATGTCCATCAAATAATATGATGGATACATTGTGGTATAATCATATAATGGATCCTATGGGTCAAATCATGTCTCCCAAAATTCTTACGTTAAATTCTTACGTCCCCAGTGCCTCAGAATATAACCATATTTAGAGACAAGGCCTTTAAAGAGGTAATTAAGGTAAAATGACATCATATGGGTGGGCTCTAATCAATATGACTGGTATCCTTATAAGAAGAGATCAGGACACACGCACACTCAAGGGGAAGACCACATGAAAACATTGGAACAAATGGCCATCTATAACCCAAGGAAAGAGTCACCAGAATGAAACCAACCCTACTCACACCTTGATCTTCAACTTCTAGCCTCCAGAACTGTGAGAAAATTAATTTCTGTTGTTTAAGCCACCCGGTCTCTGGTATTTGTTTATGGCAGCCCTAGCAAACACTGTGTGGTATAAAATGGAATACCACACAGCAACAAAAATGAAATGCAACAAATATGTGACAACATGGATGAATTTTAAAATATATCAAGCAAAAGAAGCAAGATACAAATGAACATAATTAGTGAGGCTTGATTTATGTAAAGTTTAAAAGGAGGTACAACTGTTTGCTCGGGGATACATTACTCAGTGATAAAATTATAAGGAAAAGCAATAAACTACTTCCACAAGAGGAAAAACTGCGATTACAAAGATTGTGCATTATTGACAAAGATTGTGCATTATTTAACTTTATATTCCCACGGTACCTAATAAATGTCTTTCAAATAGCGGAGAGTTAATAAATAACACCTGTTGATGAATTAATACAGATAAAAGAAAAAGTTATAATACAAATCGTAGAGTTCTGATTATTTGTTTGGAAGCCCTTTTTAAATTTTTTTCTTTTTAATTATTATGGGCACATAATATTGCATTCTTTATAGGGTACATGTGATGTTTTGATATGGTATACAATGTGAATTAATCAAATCTGAGTGACTGGGGTATCCATCCCCTCAGGCGTTTATCCTTTCTTTTTGTTAGGAACATTCTAATTTTACTCTTTTAGTTATTTTAAAGTATACCCTCACTTACTGTTGATTATAGTCACAATGTTGTGCTATCAAATATTATTCATTCTATCTAACTATATTTTTGCACCCACTAACCATCCCCATTTTATCCCTCCTTCCTGATACCCTTCCCCAGCCTCTGATAACCATCAGTATCTGTCTCCATGAGATCAATTGTTTTTAATATTTCGCTTGGGAAGCCCTTTTGAAGAGAGCATTTCTCCATGGTCATACACAGTTTCAGGTGCATAAAGAGCAAAGAGAAGCACTCAAATGTGATCAGCTATAACAGACACAAACTTTCCATAGGGGAAAACAAGCTTAGAAGTAAGCCCTTTAGTCAGTCAAATTTATTTTCTTCTTCTATATTTCCAAAGGAAATTGAGTTCCTACCTTTATATTAGATGATTAAGTATGAAATGTCTAATTTCCTTAAGTACTAAGTTTGACAGTGATACCTCTGACATTTCACTTCGACACTTCTTATTTTATTTTTATTGTGAAGGTACATCTTCAGTCTTTCAAATGCAAGGTTTGGTTTGTGATTATCTTTCAAATTTTTTAGAGAAATTTTTGTTAAACCATGGATAAGTAAAAAATTCGTGTTATTTTCCAGTTCTGTCGTTGAACCAATACCGCACAGATAGCTCAAAATATCAGCGAAGTCTCTGGGAAGGATGTGACTAATGAACGCACAGGACATCGATGGTTGAGAATTTCCATCCTGGTGATTTTAATTTTGAAAATAAGCTACGTGGGCGACCTGAGACCAAGGTGGAGAATGATAAGCTGAAACCTGTAGTGGAAGCGAATCCACCTCAATCTACACACGAATTAGCAGCAAGGTTTGATGTTACTATTCCAACAATATTGAACTATTTGAAACAAACTGGCAAGGTAAAGAATCTGGATAGATGGGTTCCACATGAATGAAATAAGTATCAGAAGAGAAATCGTCTTGAAGCCTGACTTTCTTTGCTGTCACATCATAAAGGCAAACCATTTCTACACTATATTGTTACATGTGATGAAAAATGGATTCTTTTTGACAATTTCAAGTGTTCAGCACAATTGCTGGATAAAGATGAAGCCCTGGAAACACAGTCCAAAACTGAATATTCATCATAAAAAGCTAATGGTATCTGTTTGGTGGTCCAGCACTGGTATTATCCACTACAGCTTCATGAAACCCGGTCAACTGATTACAGTGGAGGTCTACTACAACCAACTGGACGAAATGATGAGGATGCTTGCAACTAAGTAGCTGAGATTGGTCAATAGAGACAGGCTAATCCTCTTGCAAGACAATGCTCAACCACATGCCACACAAATAATGCTGCTCAAACTATAGCAGTTGGACTTGGAAACTCTCTTATCATCCACCATATTCACCAGACTTTGCACCACCCGACCACCACTTCTTCCAGGCTTTGGGCCACTTCTAGCAAGGAAAAAT